GACGGACAGACGGACGGACAGACAGACATGGCTTAATCGATTTCTTTTTTCATCCTGATCATTTATGTATACATTTGTCTATATCTATCTCGATTCGTTTTGGCTGTTACAAACAACCGTTATGTGAACAAAATTAATATACCCTTGTGCACAAGTGCGCTCGGGTATAATGAATCATTCCATCGCCAGACTAGGATTCTGCAATCGTAACGCAGTGTAATTGAACACTAGATTTTTTAATCATTTGGATGAGTATTTTCAGACAACTAATACATGTTATCTATTCGTCTTTTCTTCATTTAGTGTCCACAGTTACCTCTGACGACGATTCGGACTCCGGCAACGATATTGAAATATCAGTGAGTATCTTATTGAATTTATGATATTTTTTTTAAATAAAATTCCTACAAATGTCCTTCCCTCACAAAGACGGCCGAGACCGTTGAATCGCTGGTGTGTCAATTGATGGAGAAACAGCGCCTATCCCGTCAAGCTGCGCTAGTCAAACAGCTGGACTGTGGTTGTGGTGATGCCTCGTGTGCCGACGGCAAAACTTGCTCGCATCCAGTTATGCGGCGGCCAGCATTATTGAAGTCGGTGAGCAGCGAGAAGCGACTCAGCCTTAGCGATAGCTACGGGCAGGGGGCAAGCGGCAGTACACCGAACATTGTAGTTGGACAGAAGGTGGATAAAAAAAAAAAAAAAAATAGGATTAATTTTACATTTTATAATACTGCTTTCTTTTCCCTTTTCCGCACCAGCTTTATTCGCGTTGGTCGGAACGCCGTCTGCGCGACGCAGGCGAACAGCAGCACCATCATCAATATCAGCACACACACCACATACAACAGCAGACTCTGCCACAAGAATCGGCGATAAAATTCCAAATCATTCCACCACAACACAACGAACAACAACAACAACAGGCTTCCTATCAGCAACAACAACAGCATTATCGCCAGCAGCTGGCTGCACGTAACAGTATGCTAATGCAACAACAACAGCAGCAACTACAACACCATCAACAGCAGCAACAGCAACAACAACAACAACAGCAACAGCAGCAGCAATCAAATTTCAATCAGAGCTCATCAACAATTTCCAACAGCAATCATAACAATCAATTAAATTTACAACGATTTGTAGCTAATCACGGCACTAACCACAATCACAATAACAATAGCAACAGCAACAACAATAATGGCAGCAGCAACACCAGCAGTAATAATAATGTCAGCAATGGCAATAATAATAATTCACATCGCTTGCAAATAACAAAAGCAACAATGGCAGCTACCCCGGCGGCAGCAGCAGCGGCAGTCATCGAGCAGCAAGGAGTTGGTGGTGGTATGGGCAGCGCAATGGCAGTGAATGAGGGTGAACTAATTGGAAATCCCAGCCACATGTCCGCAAATGCCCAACAGGCGAACACCCATAATACCGTTAACCGCAACAGTAGTGATGATGTAGGTGGTGGCAGTAGTCAATTAGTATTGACACCTCACCAGCAGCAACAACACCAACAACAAAATATCATAAATAATAATAGCAATTACAACTTCAATAAGCATCAACAGCTGCAACAACAACAACAAGATGCTTCCTCATCTTCAACTTCTTCCACACAACAGCAAGAATTCTACAATAGACTGCAGCAGCAACAGCAACAACAACAACAGAAACAAACAACGAATGACATAAATATGTCCTCCGTCACCACCAATTCTTCTACCCAATCTCAACAGCAACAACAGCAGCAGCTGCAACACCACCACTCCCATTCGCAATCACAAATGCACACACACCAACAGCGCCCTCATTCGCAATCGCAGTCACAACTAGCACAGCAACAACAACAATCAGCAAATACAACGACATTGAATATTTCCTCGACGACATTTTCATCGTCATCATCGCCATCAACGTCATCATTGTCGACAGTCGAACCGATGTGTATGTCGCCAGAGCATCAGCCTTCGACACCAGTAAGCCCGACCACTTTAGGTTTAAGTAGCAGTGGTGGCGATCCCTTGCAGCAGCATCAACATCAGCAGCAACAACAACAGCAACCGCACACACAACCGCACGATGGTACTTCTTCAATAGCGACACCTTCATCGTCGCCCATTTCGGGCCAGTCGATTATGAATGCTAATGTGGGTCATCATAAACAATCGGCCATTGGCGAAGCATTGGCTGCCGACACCGCAAGTGTCGTAGATGAAAATTTAATTGGCAAACATGCCAGTGAACTGAAGGAACCGAATGCGACGACGGTGGTGATTGCTGGCGATGCGGTAGAGGTTAGCTAATACTACTTTAATATTTACTTTTGGAATTTCTTATTCGCTTTAGTATTTTCTCCTCACATGCTACAACCGAAAAACTCACCTTCATTTCTATATTCGTATTGATTTCGATGTCCATATTCGGTTTTATTATTTTATTCTTATTTACAGTCACAATAAATCTCTTTTTTATATCATTTCCATATACATATTCAGCTTAGTTATTATTTTATTATTTTAGTATTCATATTCATATTCGTGATTATATTCATATTCGTGATTATATTCATATTCGTAATTATAGTCATATTTGTAATTGTAGTCATATTCGTAATTATATTCATATTCGTAATTATATTCATACTCGTATTCATATTCATATTCGTATTCATATTCATATTCGTATTCATATTCATATTCGTATTCATATTTATATTCATATTTGTATTCATACTCGTATTCATATTCACATTCATATTTGTATTCATACACATATTCGTATTCGTATTCATATTTGTATTCATACACATATTCGTATTCGTATTCATATTCATATTCGTATTTATATTCATATTCGTATTCGTATTCATATTCATATTCATATTCGTATTCATATTCATATTCGTATTCATATTCATATTCGTATTCATATTTGTGTTCATACTCGTATTCATATTCGCATTCATATTTGTATTCATACACATAATCGTATTTGTATTCATATTTGCATTGGTGTTTGTATTCATACCTATTCGTATTCATTTTGGTATTCATATTCATATTCGCATTAATATTCGTATTCATACTCCAATTCATATTCGTATTCATATTCGTATGGATATTCGTGTTCATATTCGTATTCATATTCGTATTCATATTCATATTCGTATTCGTATTTATAATCGTTCTCATTCTTCATATTAATTTTCGTATTCATATTCTAACATTTTCTCTCTTCTTTGTAGATGTCGTCGGGCAGTGATGTTGAACAAAATACGAATACTTCCAAAAACAACAACAACCACAACAATTGTAACGGCAACAATCAAGTAACAGAGTACAACAGCAACAGCGCTACAGAAGGTTGTGTAAATATTGGTGCTTCCAATGATGGTGCCACAGTAAACAATGTACAACACCAGCAACTACAAGAAAATTGTGAAACAGAACAACAGCAACAACAAACACATACAATTGACTTTGAATCGCTGGAATTGAGCAACAATGGTAATGCTATTGGTCAGCAACAGCAACAGCAACACCAACAACGACAACGACAACCAGCTTCACATTCCACGCACGATTTGAACGATTCATTGAGCTTCCTTAACGAGACACTCGATCTCTCACAGGAAGACATACAACGCACGCTTATAGCGAATATGCCTTTCGGTCCTACGAATGGGAAAATGACATCCTCAGCTGCTGCAGTAGCAGCGGCAGCTGCAGCAGCAGCGGCGGTGGAGGCTCAAATGCTCAGCTCCATAGATTTTTTGAGTGGTGATTGCGCAGCTCAAAGCGATGATGAGATCCTTGTACCAGGCGTTAGTTGTGAAGGTGACGATGAGGATGCTGACGATGTATTTGCCAACTTGGATGCTTTCGATATGTTAGTCGAATTCCCCGAATTGGATTTGGATGATAAGGAAGCGCTATCGAATACAGTGCAACAGCAGCATTTGCAACAGCAACAACACCAACAACAACTTGTGCAGCAGCAGCAACAACAACTTACGCAGCAGCAGCAACAACAGACCGAAGTGCATGGTGCATTAGTGCAGCAAAGCAACGGACAACTGCACTGCAGCGCTGACCTGGGAGGTGGCGCGAAGAAGCCATTAAGCATTTGTGATTTCAGTCCAGAGTGGGCATACACAGACGGCGGCGTAAAGGTGCTAGTGGTTGGTCCATGGACTGCAAATGCTACGTACACGCTGCTCTTCGATGCACAACCGGTGCCGACGCAGCTAATACAGGAGGGCGTACTGCGCTGCTACTGTCCACCGCACGAGGCCGGTTTCGCTGCGTTGCAAGTCTCTTGCAACAACTATGTAATCTCCGATACAGTGCTGTTCGAGTACAAGACGATGTTGTGTCAAGAGGCACCTTTAGATGCGCACACTAACGATTGTCTGTACAAGTTTACGCTGCTCAATCGATTGGCATTGATTGACGAGAAGATGCAAGTGAAAGTGGAGGCGTCAGCGACGCTGGTGAGTGCAATGGCAGCACAAACAATCTTATGAAAAGTAAATGTAATGATCTTATTTTTGTTCTTGTAGTTTGAACAACAAACACTTTCGCTGCACAAAAATTTCGAAGAGCAATTGGTCAGCTATTGTCAGCAGCTTATGAAACGCGCATGGCTGCAGAATGGCAGCAACTGGAGCGGTGGCTACAAAAGTATGACTTTATTACATTTGTCCGCGGCGCTTGGCTACTCTAAGCTGGTTTGTGCTTTGCTCAATTGGCGCGCTGAGAATCCGAATATCATACTAGAGACTGAGATCGATGCGCTGAGTCGAGATGTTTATGGTTATACACCATTGGTGGGTAGAAGTGTACTTTATGATTGTAAATGTGCAGTTTTTTAAATCTGTATATATTTATAGGCCTGGGCTTGTTCACGCAATCATATCGAAATGGCGAGTTTACTATATAAATGGAACCACAACGCTTTGAAAATCAAGGATAATGGGCAGCAAACGCCATTGGACATCGCTCATTTTAAAGGGTTCGTATTATTGGTTAAGCTTCATCTCCGAAGCGAAATATAAAAATTAAATTCTAATATAGAATTCGTGTTTTACGAAGAAAATTAAATAGTTTCAAGTACGCAATTTTTTGACAACTTTAAGAAAGCTCTTTTTATGAGCTTCTTTCGAACATTTTAGTAAACGAGCGATATGTAAATTAAATTTGCAGCTAATATATTTTTCTATCTCATAAACCATTTCTCGATGAACTCTTTCCTAATCGAAAAATTTTCCTCTCTTAGCCATAAAGCTCTCATGTCGGAAATTTATCGCCTAGAAGAGGAACGACTAAAACAAACTAAGAAGAGCACTTTTGGAAATTTATCGCTCAGTCTCAATAAATATTCCGTAAGTTCATTTAAACAATTTGTTTGTTAGCTTCATACTAAAGTTAGAATTTTTATTTAATTTTTCCAGCTAACTGATATACATTCAAAATCATTAAATGCCAACGAACAATTGTATAATGTCAAAGACAACGAACACGTATTCAATACTTTTGATGCTTTGGATATGCAACGCAGTCATGATGGTGTATTTTTGCGTCCTGTAGCTGTGGCAAGGTACGATCAATATGCTGAACTAATATTTAGAGCTATGAAAGCTAACTATAAGGCGTGTATGGTGACAATTTCGACATTTTAACAAGTGTTGGCTATTTTCCGTTTGTTTATTTAATGTTATTTTTTTATTTAATGCTTTTTATTTAGTGTTTATTATTATTTTTTAGCTCATCTAATCAAAACCGTACAGTTCAAAACTTCAAACTTTGCAAAAGGTTTAAGAAAAAATTCTAGGTATGCAGTTTGGTTGTACTTTATTGTACTTAAATTTAATGAGCTATAAAACTGCATACCCAAATTTTTTCTAAAAATTCTGATTAAAAAAATTAAAATTTTTATGCCACTTTCTCGAGTTTTCATAATTTTTGCACAATGCTTGAAATTCAGACTTACATGGCTTTTGTTAGATAGTGAGCAATACTTTCATAAAAAATTATAAGCATTAAATAAAAAAAATTAAATAAAGCCAAAACTTGTTATTCCCGTCACTGTATATGTACACTATTTTAGATTAAAATTTCCTAAATAAAAACTGTAAAACTCTTTTTCAGCAACCAAAGTCCACCGAATGCCAGTCGCTTTTCCAAACGCTCCTCCGTAGATAGTGGCATCAATATGGATATTCGCACCAAGCCAGGCAAATCCTTCAAGGACATAACCCGTATGCAAAGGTTAGTTGCGTATTGGTAGTATGTAAGTTTCTAAAATTGTATAAGAAATAATGACTATTGATTTAATTGAAAATGTTAAACATATTTCAGACTTGAAACATGTTTCTCTTAAACATAAAATAATTTGGAATTAATTGCTCAAAAGTTCGGAATGAAACTTGCGTAGTTTCCAATGTGTTTGCAAAAAGTGTACGCAAAAAAGTTTTATTAAAATTTTGTTTGCCGTTTACAGCTTCCTTTACCTGCTTATAGCTTTTTACTTCAAAATTCAAATAGTTGTCGGTAACGTGGACTATGAATTCATATGAATTTCTGGTGTTCCATTCTCTTTGGTTCGATTGTGAGAAAATTTTCAGTTACATGCCCGTAAAGGTTTGCAAGTTCGTTTTATCCGCCAGACGGCGCTGATATAAAATAATAGCAATCTCATCCATTATCTCCCTGTTAATATATACTTATGTGTACCTACTACCTGTTCTGTGGCCGAACCAAACGAAACCATAAATTCTCCTTATACGTAAATCCAGCCGAAGTCCACTAAAGTACGACTCCAGCCTCACCTAAAAAATATGTTGGCAATGTTATGAAGAAGTATTTTTTGACCGAAATAGAAATGTAAAAATGCAATAAAATAAAAACCACGTTTTTATAACAAAAGTGCAAGAACCAAAATAAACCAGTTGCGTAAACTTTCTATTTAGAAAATGTTATTTTATGAAAAAGTAGTGCACCCGATTGATTTCCCAAAAATGTATTCCTATTTCTCAAAAGTGCAATTTTGGCACCTTGTGTCATATTGAAGAATTATATGAGGGAATCTCTCGAGGGACTTGGTTTAGTGTTACTCCCTTCTCTCGTCAGAAAAAAACGCTAAAGCATATTTCTTGCATTTATTTCAATCAGTGGAGTTCCAGAAACAAGTACAATCAAAAATAAATTAACATTTTGAAAATTTTAACTTTAAAACGTTTATTTAGGCGAAAAAGTACCGAAGTTACTAATTTTGTTATTGCCACTAGAAAAAAACACAATTTTGTTTTAATAACTTTGGTAAGTTTTCAAATAAATTGTTCATATTAAAAGCAATGTAAGTTGGCATCCAATACAGCATATCTGTGAAGTTTCAAGGGTGTGCCACCAAATTAAAAAAAAATGCAGCATGCAGAATATTTGTCGCAGCTATTTTATATAGCGTTATCACAAAAAAGGGAAAACAGTTTAACATGTCAAGCGATCTTCATGAGCACATTAGTCACACTTCCACGACAGTCATATTGACGTAACCGAAACGACCCAGATTCATATTTTGCCAAGAACTGTGACTCCAGCATAAGCTCCAAAAACTCTTTGGGAAATTTACATGTTGATGATTGATGGCACTATTGTCGGCGCTTTTCGAAAAAATGTGTCTCTGCTTTTACTAAGCGAAATTTTGGTTCACTAAGATTTTCGGTTAAAGTGTTAAAGAGCCCCATATCGGAGGACAAACTATAAACAACATGAAATCCTTTAAAAAGCTAAAATTAGGATCAAATGCAAAATATTTTATTTGAAACTTAAAGCAAGCTAGTCATATCAGCTACATAAAATCTGTTAATTTAATAAAAAAAAAAATGATCACTTCTTCCGAAAACAAAATCTGCTACAAATCTTTTCTTTTCACTGCAGTTTCGATGCACATGACAATTTCAACTTGGCCGTAGAGTCATCTTTGGACACGCTGGCCACGACAAGTACAACGAATTCCCTGCTTTCGCCATCGCGCAAAATGGACTTTGCATTGTGTAAGTATACGGCAGCGCGGATAGCTGCTTCTACATATTTCACCTGTCATAGTATTTTTTCATACATATTTTTTTTTTGCGAAAAAAAAAAATATTTTGTAAATTTATTTCACCCATTCTTTTATTTCTTCTTAAAATCAAATTTCTGTTTCTTTAACTCAATTTGTACAAAATTAAATTTTATTTCAAAAATATGTTTTGTTTGTTTTTCCAATATTATCTGTACGTACCAATCTTTATGTGTATGTGCATATATCAGGCGAGGTATCAACTGGCGATTCAAGTCCCTTACCCGACAAAGATCACGATGATACATCAACGATCAATAATGATGATGTAAACGATGTGACTATAAATAATGAGAACGATGGTATTGTAGGTCAGTTTGTGTGTGCACTATATGCTCTGTCTCCTTATTTATACATACATACATACATATGTATGTGTATTACATGCATACATACATAAAAAGAAAGAAACAAAAAAATACATATATATAAAATACATATATATCTCTACTGTTTAGTATAACTAAGTATGCATATTTCTCTAGTACACCTGTGTGTACGGTAAATATGTATGTATGTACATATTTATATGGCACTCACTGCAGATGTGTATCGATTGTTGTTAACGTTATTAATTGTTGTTGTATAAATTGTTGGCGTAAATGAGTAAAAAATAAGCTGGAAAAGCGCTATGTCTAACAAGTAAACCTGGTGTAAATATTTATATATTAATAAATCGTTGGTAATTTGGTGTTTGAGTAATTGGTGTTTGTACATAACTAAAAACAAAAAAAAAAATAATAATAATTCGTAAATTGTTAAGTGTCCTAAAAGACAAAAGTGATTTCATACATATTTTAAGTACTAAAATCAAAAATCATAAAGCCTATAGCTGCGAAGAGCTCTGTAAATAATATTCAGGCAGCTTTTGGTTGATAAGTTTTTAGTTTTTGTTATTTTTTTTTTTAAATAATTTGATTTCACGCAACTGTCTGTATTAGTTACATACATGATTTGCATGTGGAATTTGTGAAAATTTTAAATTTGTATGTATTTCTGTAGTTGCTGAATTAGTTGGTGTATGCGTATAATTCATTTATACAGCCATACATACCTTAATACACTCTTCTCCTAAATGTTTAAAGTTGCTTATGTCGATGTATATATTACTACTAAACCTTCTTCAGAACGCAGTATATATCTTGGTATAAGATCTTCAAATTATGCTAACAGAAAGTAGCACTAATTCCATAGATCGTACGCAGGCATATTTGTTCGCATCAGATTACTGCCAGCTGTAGTATTTGTTCACAATTTATGTGATTGGTGTCTGCTTTGTAACCGTTTATACAATTCAGCTAATATCTTTCTATTGCCTTTTCATTTTCTAGGGGATTCTGATGCCAAAGTGCTCACCTTGGCCGAACATATTATTGCCGCCATGCCGGAGCGCATCAAGGTAAGAATATTTATACGATTTGCACTCGATTTCACTCCTCTAATTTCACTTATTTCTCACTTAGAATGAAGCCGATGAAATGATGGTGCTCGGCAGTCCACTAACTGAACCGCTCAACTCCGATTCACCGAGCTTAAATAATGGCTTCATGGACCCACTTGATTCGTTGCCCAATACACATTTTGAAAGCTTTGATTTCAATGATCACAGCTATCGTTATCATGATGTTAGCACACCTTGCTCTAGTCTAAGTCCTGCTAGTTCGGGCCCCTTACAGTCACCAGCCAGTTACTCGATACTCGGCGCTGATCCCTCGGTTAGCTCGCCAAGTCCACCGCCCTCAACAAAGCAGTTGACCGAATTTTTGCATGCCTCCAGCAGCAGTCAATATCCATTTGAGGCTGATTTTTCGAAGCTGACGTTAACTGGTACTCAATCTCATACGCTTATGGCTGCTGCAAATAAAGCATAACTATTTTTATTTTTTACTACTCCTACCCCATAGACACCGAACAACGCGAATTGTATGAAGCCGCCAAATGCATACAGAAGGCATATCGCTCTTATAAGGGCCGCCAAAAGTTAGAAGAGCAAAATAAGGAGCGTACTGCTGCCATTGTTATACAGAATTACTATCGTCGCTACAAGCAGTATGCCTACTATCGACAGATGACAAATGCGGCGCTTGTCATTCAGCATGGCTATCGTTCTTATTGTCGTAATAAACGTTTTAAGAAATCACAATCCTCCTCCATATCGACGGGCATTGAGTTGTCTGTGGGTAATAGTCCGAGCAGCCCAACTTCACAGTGTCTATCGAGTTTTTACGATCACTTCCGCAACGATCAACAGCAGCAGCAACAACACGAATATAATTCGCAGCCCAGCACACCTAAAGAGACTAGTCCGTCTGGTCCTCTGAAGTGAGTTGATTTTGGCAGTGTGTTTAAAATAGGGTTCTCTTTATTATTGTAATTTTTTTTTTATTTACAGACGTACTTACTCACAATCAACGCAAAATCAAGCTGCCAGAAAAATTCAACAGTTCATGAGACAATCACGGATTAAGTAAGTTCATCAACTAACTACGTGCCGGAAAAAGCACAGGGTTTTGCCCGACTTAGAACGCCACCAGAATTCGTATGCTGTATCAATTCTTGCAACATACGGAGACTTACTAACTAAGAACTAACTAAATAAGAAAATTTGTTCAGGCCCTAGGCCACATAGGGAGCATACCACAGGGCCTGTGGCCCATCTGCCTTCAGGGCTTCCACCTCGCGCAACAAGCCTTGATTCAACTGAGATTACTTGAGCGACACTTCAACTCTTCCGCCTTTGCTGTCTATGAAGCAAAAGTTAGAAGCGCACAAAGTGGCAAGCGTAAATGGAAGCCTTAATACTTTCCTACTTTACGTGCAACCTGACCCCTGCTTGGCACAGCACCACCACAACACTTAACGCCATAAACTCTCAAGTATCTCGGGAGCTTAACTGAAATGGCGAAAACCGCTGACAGCATCCCAAGCTACTGGAAAGCATTGAGACATTATCTCCCCCACAGGAATTATAAGGGTTAAGCACACTTTTGAGATCAAACTTCGAAGCCAAGTATAACTAAATAAGGGCTTCCACGGGGTGGTGTCTCTTCCCAAATACTATTTTACTTCCACATCTCGAAGCTTCTCGACCAGAGTGGGGTTTACTGATCTCAAACGTTGACAACTGCTCGATATGGCATCCGGCAATGGAGTTGAGGGCCTGCGTTATTCTCGATTCTTCCCTGATTTGAACTGAGTTTGCTATAGCTTAAAATAAAATTAAGAGACTTTCTTTTTAAAATTTTTTTATCCCTTTACAGGCTTTGTGTCCAATTAAACACTTATATTTAGTTTAGGCCCTAAAATAAATACGTAAAACTCCTCACGTTGTGGAGCAAATACATTGCTCCAAGGGTATTCTCTTGATGTCTTTACTTAATTTGTTGTATAAACTGTTCTATATTCTATACTCATTGTTCTAAAACCATTAAATATCCCGCTACATAAGCCAATATTAATCTATATTTGTAAAATATTCCACGCAAGCATTTGGGATGGAAATTTAACAGCCTTGGTAAGGTCTTGGTTTTGAAAATTTAATTAATATATTTATTTTGGCAAATTCAGCACTTAATTTTTTTTTGTATATAATAAATCATTTATTATTATTTTTTTTTTTGCTCTTAGACTGCAGAGAGAACGAGCCGAAAAAGAGAAGCTGGTGCACCAACGCAGGGCGGAATACCTTCAAAGCTTGCAGTATCAAGGACAACCGGAAATTGTCTGCCAAATCGAAAGAAAGTAAGTAATGTTATTGATTTTGAAATGCATAAGTATATATAGTACTCTATATGAAGTTGCTTCCTTATATATATAACGTACTTGAGAGAATAGTAGATAAGTTAGATGGCAAAGCTGAGGGAGGCTGCATGTAATACACATGTAATTGTTAGGTAAGACGCTGGTTGCTCAAAATGATGTTCCCTAGGCAGCTTATGTTCACGCCAGTGAGTTCCCGCAAAAACAGGGTAGCTGAAAGTAAATAATTAGACATTTCCACCTATTCGTTGTACAAATGCTCTACCTAATTTGTAAGTATGTAATAAGTGGCGTACGGCAGGGAGGTTGAGCATTCCCGGATGAGCTTCGATTGCACCACAAGCGATCCTGGGCCCCGATTGCTGCTGGCTGTCGTGATAGATATTTACCCTTCTAACCGCTGTTACACTCATAGGCATCCAGTCGACATGGCGAAAATCCGGAAGATTAAATTTTAAATTAACGGAGAGTTCTTGACTGAATACAGTTTCTCCAACTCTACCATCCAATTTCGATGCCTCCGTGAATATGTTGATTGTACCTCTGTTTCAGAGTCTTCATTCACCCGTTAGGTGAATGTACGCGTTAATCCGTTGCTTCAGGCATACAATAAAAATTTTGAAACAGCGATGAGTGCTCTGGTGACAGACTTATAGATAGATACCCAGTTTGATCCTAAAGAGTTCAGAGTGCTCCATTGTTGTTGTTGTTGTAACAGTATACAAATACCCCAAAGAGTTTTTGATGCTGAGTTTAGAGTCCTTGGCCAGATATACATATACATTTTAAATCTGGGTCGTTCCGGTTACGCAGAACCTACTCCATCGTTGACCAGTCCAGGTTTGCCTTCCCCGATGGCATACTCAGCGGACATGAGCTTTCGATGGCGTTCTTGCACTCCAGTGTGAACTTTTTCATCAAATCATTAGTCGATCTTTCGGCAGGACTAAAGCTCTACTAAGGGGTCTCTAAGAGTAGCGCTTTCAGTAGAATGCCAAGGACTTTGTAGTCGAAAGTACGATATATGAGAGACGGGCGATACTTCTTGCTCTAAAAAAAACTGGGGACCCAATTCCATTGAAATATATATATTTATAGAAGATAGAATACAGATCGGCAAAGGGCACTTCCTTCTACGCGTTCAGCTTTATATACATTTTGCTTTGATGTGCATTGGGTAACTAAAAACCCGCTCTGCCGATTAAAAGCGCTCTCTGTCCATTAAAAGCTTTTTCTGCACATTTCTATTTATAAAAAAATATTAAAAATATCCACGGATTCAATTTAGCTTTAATAATCTTAGTTTAAATAAATCTACTTTTATTTTATTTTTTAGTGAAATGCCAGTGCAAACTATTACAAATGAGCTTCTCAACCAAAACAACACAAACCGCAACTGCAATAATAGTAGCAACAATGCTTTCAACTTCAATTTGAGTCAAAATCAGCAATGAGTGGAAAAGGAAATTAAATTGGGCGAAATGGTGAAAACTTTATTTTGCGCGAGGAAGTTTTTGTGCAACATATGAATGCTTCTTTGGCTTCGCTTGGAGTTTACATGAAAGAGTTATAAGCAAGAGCGAAAGCGCTTTTCTACAAAGGAAAGTTCTTTAAGAAATTAAAGCTCTATTTGGAAGTTAAAGCTTCTCTCATGAGTGAAAGCGCCTTTTACATGGAAAAGCTATGTTTACTAGTGAAAGATGTTTTCCGAATGTTAAAACTCGTATCCATTGGCGAAAGCTCTTTTTGCAAGTGAAAGCTTTTTTCGTTAGTGAATGCTCTTTGGTAATGTTAAAGTTTCGGCGTATGAATGAGAGTATGACACTGCATTGCTTGACACTACTCAACATTTACCAACCATGTAGAACAGAATTGACTCGTAAAAATACTTATATGCTTATATACAATACACATTGAAATACATACATATATTGGTATTGTTTATATATACTATATATACCTAGGTACTTACACTTATATGTACATACATATATGACATATATGACATACATGCGTATATGCATATAATTAAAAGCAAAATATATATAAACTTCGACTAATTGTAAATCTTTACATAAATAGCTTTATTAAACTGAGTGAAACTTTCTATTCGAAACTTTTTGAATTAGAATTGTAGTACATATGTACGTACACACATACATACATATTTATAATTTGTTATATTGTATTTTATTACTACTAAAGAGACAAAGTACTGTACATTTTATGTGAATTTTTTAATTTATACTTTCGCTATTGCACGGTTCTGTAGAAAACTTAGCATTTTCTTCTTTGATAAAGCAGTTCCAAAACTGAATTTAAACGAACATTTTTATTAAAAGAAAAAACTATATATAGATATATATACTATATTGAAAATGTTGAAGTAAAAGTTTAATGATGAAGTTGAAGAAAAGAAAAAGAAAAACGTTTCATATTTAATACAATTTATGCACCCAAAAAAATTAAACTTTTTTGCCTTCTAAATATATTTATATATAAGTAAGCAAGTAACTACTAACAACTAACTTACTTAACTATTTAAAGCTATTAACTACTTATGTAGCAAGAATTTAAACAACAACATTTGAGAACATCAAAACAACAAACACTTTTTACGAATTGTAGGAGTTTTTTCTCTTTTCTAATAATTAAGCAGTCAGTCGTTTTAAGGTATAAGGAACACTTTTTATTAATACATAAGTACGTACGTATATATCTACCCCAAAAGTATGCAATACATTTTAAAAAGGAAACAAATTGAATGGTAAATGTTACTTAGTTTCTATTTTTTGACGTTTTTTTCTATTTTCACTCTACTTATTGTTAGTTGATGAAGAAATTAAGTAAAAGAAAAATACACTAGTAATGGTGCAACTTGAATTTAAAGAATTTCAAACTTAAAATTAATTCGCAACACTAAAAGAACTTATTAATGGAGCCTTTGAAACTAAATGAAAATAAACGAAAAATAAAAGTAAAACTTAAAATAAAAAAAATAACTGGTACTATTTTAGCGGAAATTAATATAAAAAAATATATAAAAAAATTATTAAATGAATTTAAGTAAAACGAAAATTATAAACTTAATCATACCACTTGTAAACTTTTAAAACACTTGTAGTAAATGAGAGCGCTATTTATATTGTACACATATATGTAGGTATGTGTATAAAAATGTGCAACTAATCAAGTAAATAGTGTAAAATAATTTTAATTATAAAAATTATTCAACTCTTTTAGGATAGTTGCAAGGCGAACTAGAGCGCATTTTCCAAATACGTCATTGCATTACTTAACGCAGCTTCCAAAAATAAAAAATAAAAATACAAAAAATTTAAATTTAAAGTACCAAGAATAAAGGTTCGTTTTTTAAAAACAACTATATATTCTACACCAAAACTTACTAGTCTAGTTATTTAAAAAAAGTTTATGTTTTTAAAATTTTGAAAACAAAAACCAAAACAACTGAAACTCTATTAACTTACATACTATATATTAATTATTTAGAATTTGCTATGATTTCTAAAATCACAACTAAGCAACTGAACTTAAACTAAATCTTAAAAGTTAAATTTTACTACATACATACACACATATATTTGAATTTTTACTAATGTAAGCTCCATCAAAAGCCTTCACTTGACAGCAGGGTTTGTTAAGATTCCAAGAAAGTGCTTAACTAAATGCAAAGTACATATATACTTGTACTGAGTTAAAAAAAAGGGAGCAGAAAGTGTAATTAAAAGTTAGTTTTGTCCCTGTACGCTGCAACATAAGGAATTGAGTTGAAATGCATTGAATTGAATTGAGAATCAAAAGTATTCTTGGAAACTAAATTAAATTAATTAAGTTTTTAATAAATAAAAAGAGCAAACAATGCTTTTAAATTACGAGTAAACTTTTATTTTTAAATATGATTACATATTTTCCTTCCCTATTTATTAAATTATATATCACTTATTCCTATTACCTTATGTATGTAAATAAATTTAGCGCTTAAACATATAAAAGCGAAAGAGCAAACACATTAATATTATTATGCTAAATAATAAATAAACCATATACAATAAACAATAACTAAATTAACTTTAACTTTTTATTACTAGTTTTTAAGTAATTTTCGATAATCTTCACACTCACGCTATACTGAACTATTTAAGCTTTAGCGGCAAAACAAAAACAAAAACACTACAATATATGAACACATAAACCATAGTTTACTGTACTTATTGAAACATTTATGTATGTAAAAGAAACTAAATCGAAATATTATAATATTGTAGTTAACAATTGAATTTTCTACAACGTTTAAATTAAACATCTTTTGCACCTACATTTCGAAATAAATCAATATTGCATATATACATACATATGTATGTCTGGAAGTAGCACTGAAAACTTAACAAACTATACAACTATGTATTAAAGTGCTCATTAATCACACAGAAAACTTGAAATATATTTAACTATGTAGTTTATTTTACTTAACAATTTATGAGAACTAAATACAAATTTCGAATGTAATTGTACACAAATTGTTACTGCGGCATTGTTTAATAAAGTTTAAATTATATGAACATATAAAGAAACAAACACACAAGCAGTGTTGAGCATCTGAAAATAGGAAATTAAAGCCGTATACCTTTAATATATATATAACAGTAGAAGTCGAGAGCAGCATCTGAATTTTAGAAACCGCTAAGCTGGCTTCCGAACGCTATAAACCACTAAGTGGGTAACAGATGTACCTAAAAATATGCCACATGTAAATCTGGGTGTGCAATATGTCCGCAAATATTAAAGTCATCTATCGATTAGAGAATGATTTGGGGGCTAGTCCTATCCCTAGAGCACGGCAAAAAAAAAACAGGCACAATTCTCCACTCGAGAAAATGGCTCTTTTCAAATCGAATTGTAGTTCTCTAAAGCAATGTTGGTCACTTCATAGGCATGCGTGCCTAAGCTTTTAAAAGCTCTTTGTCCAACTTGTACACGGCAGGCACAAAATAAAAATTATCTGGTAAGAAAATTACATTTTTTAATTCTAGTAATTAAAAATTCTCTAAAGAGACCGCGTTTATAGTACTTAAACCGCATGAATAGTGGCTGATACCGTTCTTCGGGAGATGTTGCAGATATTAAGTTATTCGCTTTATTCATTTATAGCAGTGATGCGCAGGAGAGCTTTTACTCTAAAAGCGCCTATACAAAATGTATGGAAAGCTTAAAAGAGCTTTGCCCGCAGGCAAGGCCGTGCCCATCAGTCATTTATAGCTAAATATTTAGGTGCCGAGATAATACAGGGAGATTCAGGCTAAGTTAGTTTAAAGGCTTTTGTAATACAATGGAAAGACAGTAGGCAAGATAGTTTGAAACATTTTGTTTGTTTTTTTTTTGCACGAAAGTCTTACAAAAAAAGGCTCCTTTGCCGTACGTACGTATTGTACGTAATTTTCTTCGAGCTACTCCAACAGGCGCAACTTCCGGGTGAGCAAAGCGATGGCGTGTCATCTGATTGATCCAAGGTTTAATTTAATTTTCTTTTGGTTTTTAACTGTTGCTGTAAAAAGAAAATATTTATAACTTCAATTAAATTCTTGCGCTGACGACACACAATCAGTTTTGTGTAATGGCCCGGTTAGACATTTTTTTTATTTTTTATTTATTTTTTAGATTTCATTGCCAGAAAGAGAAAAATATTTTTTTTTAATTTCATTTAATTTTTAGATTTTTTATTTAAATTTTTCTTTTTTTCTTTTGATGTTAATGTTTTAAAAAGAAAAATATATTTTTTTATTTAATTTAATTTTTAGAAACTTATTTATTGCCCCTTTTTCAGTTTTATTATTATTTTTAATTAAATTTTCTTTTAAAAGTCAAGATTCGCACATATATTATTTGAAAAAAGAAAAAAAATTGTATTTAATTTTATTTTTAGAAACTTATTTTTTATATTTTTCTCCTTTCTAATTTAATTTTCTTTTAATTTTTAGATGTTATTTATTAAAAAAACATATTTTTTAATATCATTTAGTTTTTAGAAACTTATTTAATTTTTTTCTTTGTTTTCAATAAATTTTTTTGTGTTTTTATTTTTTATTTCAATTCAATGTTGTTGAATTAGTAGTTTCTATTGTTTTAAAAAGATGCACATTTTTTGTTTAATTTTATTTAAAGTTTTTTTTTTTAATCCAACAATCATTTTTTTTTAATATCAGTTGGAGGTACGGCTTTTTATCTTATTAAAAACAGATGAAAATATATTATTTTCCCAAAATAGAAACTCATTTTATTAGTTTTTCCTTTTTTAATTTTATTTTCAGTTTTTATTGTTTAAAAAAACAATACATATATTTTTTTTTAATTTTCTTTGATTTTTAGAAAATTTGCTAAGACTTACTCGTTAGCAGATCTTTCAAGTAGTCTTTCGAATGGCAAAAAAGATCTTTCAACATAGTTGGCGCAATTTAAAATTGTTTTGCGAAATACTTTCTTTCGATAGACTATGGTGAGTTGAGAGACAGTTGCCAGAATTGCCCTGTTAGCGAAGCATTTTCTAGAATTCCAATACCCATGATCCAGATTTATTAGCTTTGTTGACCGGATGTTGTAAACATTTAGGTGCTAATTTGGCTTTTGGTTCCGTTTCTTATTTATTACCTGAATAATTTGGTTAATATAGACTCAACCAGATTTGAATTTCAGGAAGTAATTCTCCAAAAAAGTTATAATTTTTTTAATTAACGTTTAACGTATTGTGTGCATTAGAGCTTCCTTATTTACAAATTCTTACCGCCGGTTTCACCAACAATTTAAATGGAAAACGATTTCTTATTATCTGTTAATTTTCATACAAAATTCAAAAAATTAAAATAAATTTTTTACTTAAATTGCTTTCGTGAAATTTGCTGTTAATTCTAAATTATAATCGCAGTGAGTCTAGTTAATTACATCAAATTGTACTAGTTATCGAACAACCGTGGTTATTTGCTGACCAAGTTGAAGCCGATTAGTAATCAATTTAGGCATGCTAGGCTATGGGATGTCCGAGAGACTATTACCACTGGTACCATAATTAAAATTTGCGCTCTAGTCACGCCACAGAGGGTGTTGAGTGCAATCGTTTTCCGAGAGTCGAGTAATATCGAAAATTTTATGGCATTTTCGACTGAAATTTCGACTGGAATAGTGTATTAAAATGAAAAAGCAATGGAAGCACTGGATAGTTTTCGACAATTTTCGTCGTCTATTTATTTCAGCACAATAGTTGGCATTGTTGAGTCGTAAAATTGGGTCTAATTTGTGACCTACGCAATGAAACTGAATACTAGGACGTATTTTCTTATTAGGGCTCTAGTCTGTCAACCAATTGTTGTTGTTGCGATTTTAGCGGCTCAGTTAGCCAGCTAGACGGGTTAT